TGGTGTGCACAATGCATACTTTTTCTAAGAGTTGTTTTTGTACCATGGCTAGACTTTGCTTAGTTTTGATCCTAATGGAAACTATTGATTAGGTGGAGCACAGTGCTTTCTAGAAGTAACCAGTTGCCATTTAGTCAACTGACTCATGGTGACCCCTCATGTGCCAGAGTAGAGCTATGCTCTAGATGGCTTCTGCTGTCTGACTTTTTAGAAGTTCATCACCAGGCCTTCCTTCCAGGGCACCTCTGGGTATACTCAAAGCTTTCCATTAACAACCAAGCACTGTTGGTATCACCCACGGTCTCCTTTCAAAAGGTAGAAGTCACAAACTCCAAAGCATAAGGGTCCTTGCAGGTTACTTAAGAGGATGAAATAGACTGGGTAGAGGTATTGGGGAATGACGGTAACTGGCAAACTGGGGAGTACATGAGGTTGGCATTTTGAACCACTCAGCAACTCAAGGTAAAAAGACCTGGCAGTCTGCTTCTGTAAAAATTATAACAAAGAAAAACCTGAGGAGCAGGTCTGTTGTGTAACACGTGAGGTTGCTATGAGTTGAGAAATCAAGCAGCTGACAATGACCACTGTGTGCTAAGTACTTCAGGCATGTTATTGCACAAATCCTCAAAACAAGGAAGTATTAGCCTTCAGTCTAAACATTAGAAACTGTATCAACATTAATTAGCATTTACCAAGTCTCATTCTAGTGCTAGACTTCAGTGAGGGCTAAAGGCTTTAAAGGAACCTTGGTGGCATACAGGTGGCATACTCAGCTGCGAACCAAAAGGTTGGCAATTCGAACCCATTAGGTGCTCCCCAGGAGATAGGTATGACAGTTTGCTTCCATAAAGATTACATCTTTGGAAACTCTGCAGGCAGTTCTACTCTGTCCTATAAAGTAGTTATGAGTTGGAATCAACTCAGTGGAAATGGGGAAAAAAGCAAACCAAAACCAAACCTACTGCCATTGAGTCAATTCTGACTCATTGCGATCCTATAGAACAGAATAAAACTGCCCACATAGAGTTTCCAAGGATGTAGTCTGTAAGGGAGCAGACATCCACATCTTTTTCTCATGGAATGGCTGGAGGGTTCCAACTTCTGACCTTTGTTAGCAGCTGAATGCCTTCACCACTGCACCACCAGAACACTCTGTGGGAAAAAAAGAAAAGCTTTAAATGGGCCTTTTAATGTTAATGATTTATACTAGGTACTCTTAGAATTCCACTTTTATGGATGAGAATGAAGAGTTTTTGAAAAATGATTAAATGCCTTACCTAGTGTCACACAGGAACTCTGGTAGCATGGTGCCTAAGGCACTTGACTGCTAACCAGAAGGCTGGCGGTTCAAACCCACCAGCCACTCCTTGGAAGGAAGGTGGGGCAATCTACTTCTGTAGTGATACCGCCTTGGTAACCCAAGGAGGGGTCCCTATGAGTCAGGGCCAACTCAACAGCACATAACAACATAACAACAGTGTCACACAGCTAGTTAGTGGGGAAGTCAAAATTTGAGCAGTGTTTTCCAAGTGCTTTATGATTAAATGTGCTAAGGCTCCCATATACTCCTAATGGCTGTTGTTGGTTGCCCTCAAGTCATTTCTAACTCATGACAACACCACGTATGTCAGAGTAAACTTCTCCATTGGGTACTTGTGGCTGATGTTTCAAAAATAGATCATCAGGGCTTTCTTCTGAGACACATCTGAGTGCACTGAAACCACCAACCTTTTGGTTAGCTGCCGTGCATGTTAACCATAGCAGCAGACTCCGCTAATGCCTAAACATTAGATCCAAACAGAGGAAATTGCTGGTAATTGACAGTTTATGCCATCTTCTCCTTTTTCCTTTTTTTTTTTTTGCTGCAAAAGACCTCTTTATTTATTTTTTTCTTTTCTTATTTTTTAAAAAATGTTTATTGTGATTTGGGTGCAGTTTATGTCTTCTACAACAGCAATTTCATATGGTTCAACCTAGTGGTGTGTACATTATCTGTCTCCAATCCTTAACTAATTACCAGAAACAGAAGACAACTATGGACAAGTGGATTTTTGGGGGGCATTTGTAGTTGAATTGAGGAATGTGCTATCATTCATTAAGAAGGACCTGGCACTTGAAAATTGAAAGTACATACTTGTCACATTTAGGTGTGACTTCCAGGTACTCATTTCTGTCATAAACAGGATGTCTAAGTTTTATTTGATTTTAAGTAACAATAGGTCTATGCGTGAGTTCAGTTTAAGGGCGCTAAAGGTGAGTGATATGATTATAAAATTATAACATTATGAGTGAAGGGTCCCATCCTTTTAGTCACATTTTTTCAGTAGAAAATTCTTATTTATAGTTATTTGGCTTTAGTTTAATCTCTAACTCTAAAATGTGCATGATGTTTTGCTATGCTAGTGATTAGAAGGAATTAAAATTAAACTCAGGAAAGCTTTGAGTTGGAATATTTGTTCACTGTGGAGATTATGTTTTAAGTAGTCAGCCATTTACTTTCTTACATCTTACTAATAGTCTTCAGTTAGTGAAAGTCAGAAGTTTGGCCTCGTTACAATTTCAACAGAAGCATGGGACATCCTTTGATGTAATCTCTGTAAAAATGCAAGGTGAATCTTGGTTTATGTTGACAATGGTGTTAGCTGCCCACAAATTGGCCTTCCACTCGTGGCTACTCCATTCACAATGTGATCAGGCTGTAATGATCTATATATGTAGGGTTTTCATTGGCTTAATTTTGAAAGTGCATCACTGGGCCTTTTTCTCTAGTCTCTCTTTATCTGGAAAGTCTGTTCAGCATCATAGCAGTGCTCAAGCCTCCACTGACAGACAGGCAATGGCTGCACATCAGGTGCACTGACTGGAAATCAAACCCAGGTCCCCTGCACAATAGGAAGGCTTCCACCATGCAACTAACACTTGTGCTAATTCTGCCTTGCTAAAGCGTGGATTCCTAAGAACACACATGGGATGCCTTTCTTCAAGCTGGTCCTAGTCAATTTCTTGTACCTCTAAGTTGGAAACCTGAACAAAGTTTTCCAATGAAGAGACTGATAGATAACCTTTTGTAGCAGAACTGTAACGATCGAGTTGAACACAAGCCACTAGAGGGTGCTTCTCAGATTTCTGTCTGGTATCCTTCAAATCAAATATAGTGCCCTTTAATCTGTTGTGTTTTTGGATCTGTGTATTCAGAGTCTTTCCGCTGACACAGACTGTTAGACCACGCTCAAATGAACTGAGTCTGTATATATATGAATAAATTTGGCAATTCATAAGAATAATGTCTTAAAGAAATAGTATTAAACCCTCTTCTCAAAAAATAAACTGTGATTATAAGGATGAAGGTTAATGGAAGCAAATTATTTATTAACTGTGTGCCTTCAGAAAAGTTGCATTATTTAATCTTCATGATAGTACTGTGAGTTTAAAATGTATGGTCTTTTTGCTTTTCTGCTTATGTAATAAATTGAGCATTTTATATAATTATCTACAAGGGTAAATGATGGGATTCTTGAGAAGAAACAGTGTATACAGGATTTATTATTCTTTACAGATTCTGCTCTATTAAGAGTAGAATTATAAACACTGCTTAGGATTCATTGAAGGATTCAACCTAATTTCTTATGTCGCTGGCCTTACTCTAATAGACACAAAATGGTGAATGAATCAATTGCATTGTAAAGTTGATTTCTATTCACTTGATTTTTATATAAAGTACCCAAACCCAAACCACTGCCATCGAGTTGATTCTAACTCATAGTGACCTGCACTGGGTTTCCAGGACAGTATATCTTTACTGTATATTGCCTCATTTTCCTTCTGTGGAGTGACTGGTGGGTTTGAACCACCAGCCTTCTGCTTAGCAGCGAAATGCCTTAGGCACTAAGTCACCAAGCACCTTTGTTTTTTATATAGTCACTGAATATTGTTAATTATGAGCTATGTTTTCAAACTGTTCATTCATGAACGATTTTCATTATTTTGTTCATATCTGATTATAATATTATTAATATTTTCTTTAACATAGTTCAGTTTTTTACTTACGCTTTCAAAAGAAAACTCTGATCACTACTTTTACTATTATTTATCCCATTGATTAATTTTTGGTTGATATAAACTTACTCTTTGAACTTTTAGCTAAAAATAAGTCAGTGTTTTAAAGCATTACTTTTTAATTTAATTTTTAAATGGAAACAATATCACTATCATAATTTACTAGAAAGATTTTTCTGGGGTACATTAAAAATATACATTTTCTACTAAAATAATATGCAAAGGTCCATCCATATACCATTCAGATGCACCTTGCATGCTGTAGTGAGACCCAAGCCAAACTTGGAGAAAAAAGTGGCAGAAAGCAAAGATAGGCTATTGCTAAAATAGTGACCCATAAGGGATGCCATCATTCACACAGAGTTTCTGATAAAACTTGGCAGGGCTTTCCCCAGCCCTACTGACCCTGGGAGTCAAGCTTGCCATTCAGTTAAAGAGGTGCCACGTGGTGTTTGCTGTCTTCTTTTTTAAATATTGCCCTGCTTCCCTTTTGAAGAGTCTTCTTATGAAAAGAAGGTGACCTCAACTTTTTAGGTCTGTAAAGGTGCCGACAATAATGAATTTTTTATTTTCTGTGGGACTCACTCTAAATCAGATTCAGCATTATGCTAGTGCATATATGTTAAAAGGTGACAGTGAAATTCCAATGTAATGAGGATGAAGTTTTGCTATTCAGCACTGCCCCTTTGTTTTAGGTCTAGTAGGCTCCTTGCACCAAAACAATGCAGGTTTCCTCTCAGCTTCTGAATTCATTGTGTCTGGTTGGGTAGGAAAGATTTTTTTTCCTAATCCATTCTAGAAATGAAGTACAGTTTGTTCTGGTTTTCCAGTTTATTATTTTTTATTTTTTATGTGCTGAGAGATTTGGATGTGAAATCTTAAAAAAAAAACAAAAACAAAGTATCCTTTTTTGAAATATGCAAATGTGTCTCTCTATCACCTAGGAAACTATTATGGGACACCCAAACCTCCTAGCCAGCCAGTCAGTGGGAAAGTGATCACGACGGATGCCTTGCAAAGCCTTCAGTCTGGCTCCAAGCAGTCAACTCCGAAGCGAACCAAGTCTTACAATGATATGCAAAATGCTGGCATAGTCCATGCTGAGAATGAGGAAGAGGATGATGTTCCTGAAATGAGCAGTAGCTTTACAGGTAAAGGCCACATGGTATCCCCCTCAGTGGACCTGGGGACTGCGGGTGGTGGGGAGGCTTTTGTAAAGAGTTAGGATGAGAAGGCTGCTATTTCAAGAAGATTCTGTAGGTTCGCCAGAATTGGACTCACCACACAAGTGCTTGGGGTAGAGGGGGTCTTTTCCCTGGTCCATATTTCATGCTTCTTCACAACAGTATTTGGGCTTCACCCAAATATCTTAAAGGGGCATGAGAGAGTATGTTCACAGAAGGAGGTCAAAAAGGATCAGCATTGCATCTTTCTCTCCTGAATCATTTTATGCACATATAGGTTTCCTCTTCTATCTGAAAGTACAGTGCTGCTATGAAACTTTTCGAAAGCTGAAATAGTATAAAGAGAAGCAGCAGTTACCATTAATTTATGTCGGAAAATTTTTGAGGATTCACGACTCAAAAAATAATCTACCAGATCAAAACAAATGACACATAAGACCTAAAATAACACTAATATCTAGTGTTAACAGACACAGTATAAAGCTGCTATGGTGGCTGGATGCTGAAATATGCTGACTATGGTTCCTGGGGAAGGTACTTTGTGATATCATTCTCACTGCTTGGGGTGTCCATTGCCTCTTTAACATGCTGAATGCTATTTCACTTTTTGCCTTTTTTTGTAAAGTCAGACATCCTCTTACAGTTAGTAAAAACAGGTACTGATGTTTATCTTTTTGTAAAAGTGACATAATGTGAACTGTCAAAAAGCAGGATATACCGGTACATGTATGTGTGTGTGTGTATATATATATATATATATATATGCATTTTATTCATTTCATTTAGTCTTTGGCCTTAAAGCTGCATAGTAATTATGGCTGATTTCTTATGAAGAGAAACATAATTTAATAGCTTAGTATTAATTGATGCTGTATGAATAGTTTAATGACATCCTTTTATCTCATGCCTTTGTAATTGGAGGTACAGTGGAAATATATAATGTGTTCCATTAACTTATGGATATTTTAATATATGTCCTAAAATGAGGAGAGATGGAAAAATAACAAATCTAAGATTATATCTTGCATATGCTGCTCTCAAGACATATTCTGTATTACATATAGTGTGTATTACTGAATGTCCTATCTATTTATGTGTCTGTCGATTTCTCGACCTGTCTGTCTGTCTGTCTAGGGCTATCTACCAGAAATTTATATAGGCTGCATTTTATGAAGGGATCTTAAAGGACAGGGCTTCTGATTAATGCCATACATGTTGGATGTTACACACCTCCAGGGGCACCATTCAGAGGTGGATTACCTAATTAGTGTAGTGAAGCAGCACTGTTCAAGAATATTTTTCATTATATGAGGATTTGACCTTATATAGTAACTCAAAATGTAACAACTACATAAGATATGAGTATCTCTATTCTGTAACATGAAGACTTAGAAAAATGTCTCGTTTCTTCCATTTTCCTGTACTTAAACATGTCCTTTCATATTTCGGAGTTATAGCTGTGACAGTGTATCCGTTTTCAGCATATGAGATCATACTGTGTTATAGTTGTCTTCTCTCATATCACCACACTTCGGTCATTAATTCATTAGTGTTGGTCTCAGTAAAGAGGAGATTAGTGGACTCAGTATTTCTCCCCCTGTGCTAATCCACTGTCATTGTGTCGATTCCAACTCATAACAGCCCTATAGGACAGAGTACAACTGCTCCATAGGATTTCCAAGACTGTAATCTTTATGGAAGGAGCTCTGGTGGCATAGTTGGTAATGTATTTGGCTACTAACCAGAAGGTCACACTTCAAACCCACCAGCTGCTCTGCAAGAGGAAGATGAAGCACCTACTTCCGTAAAGATTTGCAGCCTTGGAGGCCCAATAGGGGTCAGTATGAGTCGGAATTGACTTACTGGCAGTGGGTTTGGGGTTTTTTGCTTGTTTGATTAATGTTTGTGGAAGCAAATGGCCAGAGTGGTTTTGAACTGTCAACCTTTCATTTTGCAGCCATACAATTACCCAGTGCACCATCAGGACTCCTTCCTCCTGTGCTACAAATCTAATAAAATATTTAGGAAAAGGCTTGTGGTGATTGGATACTGTCTACAGCTTTTTTTTTTTTTTTTTTTTAATTAGGATTTGGGTGAAGATTTACAGAGTAAATTCACTTTTCATACAGCAGTTCACATAT